TCTCATTCTTGTTGGTCCTTAGATGTGCTGGCTTAGAAAGTTTCTTGTTGCCACGTCCAGCAGCTTAGCTTTCCATGTTTCTGATCCCCCATGCGGGTCTCTGTTCTCCCAATCTATCCTCCCATGGTTGAAGTCTCACATGATTAGTAGTCTAGATACATTCCTGCTAGCAACAGAAGCTGCTCTCTCTCTATTATGTTAATGGTGGCCATGTTGGTTGTCATATTCCTGTCTAGGTCTTCTGTCATTTGGTGGTAGATTATATATGACTACGACTATAATTTTTTGTCCTCCAGTTGTTATGGTACCTGTTATGTAGTCACTGAAACCTTTCTCAGCCCAAAATAACCATCTCCTCAAAGTCCCAGCCTTTTCTTATCAGCAGAGGTACACCACCACCACCTCTTCCTTCTCTCTCTTTCCTCATAACATAATAGTCCTGTGGGAACAATGCATTTCTTATGGTTTAAGTTAGTTTTGTTTCTGTTGGTGCTATTATGTCTGGGTTTTCTTCTAGTACCCATTCTCCAAGGTCATTTGCTTTATTTGTATTTCCATCTGTGTTAGTGTACATTGCCTTGAGGCTCACTTTCTTCTGTTCCTTCTCAAATCGCCTCCTTGGTGAGTGTTCTGCTGGTGGGGGAAGCTGTTCTATGGGTGATAGGATTTGTGAGGTGGATAACAGGGTCTCAGAGGATACTGGGGTGAGGGGCGGGGTGTCAAGTGAAGGAGAGCGTACAGGTAGGGTATGGGATGAAGGGGGAGGGAGGACAGGAAGGAGAAGGGGGGGAGGGGGGATATGGCGAGAAGAGGGGATGGGTAGTAGGGTGGGAATGGGGTGTAGAGGGAGGGAGATTTGGCTGAGCATTTGAGTGGGGGCAGGGAGGGTTTGGTGTAGGGGGTTTTCTATGCAGAGGAGGGTGGTGGGGTTGCCCTCCCGTCTGGTGTTACTGGGTAGCTGGTTGTGGGTTCACCCCTCACCTTTGGAGATGTTGTGTTAGAGGTCGTGATTTCCTGGTTTTCCCCTCGCGCCCTGCGCTTCTTCCATGCTTCTGCTGCCATGGTTCTCTCCTCCCTTGTCATCTCCCTCTGGAGGAATACTTTTTTTAATTTTCCTACATATTGCAGGTTGCTCTTCTTTGTTAGAATCATCTACTTTGTGTTCTCGTTTGCAAACACTATCTTTAACACATGGTCTAGGTCTTTGTTGTACCAGCCTATCCTGAAAACCTTTTCAATTCTATGCTCAGCCCCTTCCATCTCTAGTGCCTTCAGTATTTCATTCACTGCTGCATTATCCTTATCATTCCACTCTGTCCTTTTGGAGCCTTCCTGCTCTTTAATACCCACAGTTTCCACTGATCTTATTCTTTCCAACAGCTGGCTAGTGAAATGTGCCGCTTCCTGTGAGGTGGATGCTTTCATTACCAACTCCATCATTGTGGACATTACTTCAGAGTTTTTTTAGCATTTCTGCAAATGTTGCTTTCATAGTGGCATTCTCTTCCAATATACTATTTCCACCTTCTCCCTGGAGGATTATCTGAGTCTCAGCATCAATACTGTTCTCTTTGAGGGTTTTAATCTCCTCCTTTGCTGCTGTCAGCTCTCTTTTCAGTTTGCTTATTTCTTTCTTTATTTCTGGTATCATTCCCTGCATTTCGCTCTTGATATCCTCCAAAAACTGGGTGAACATTTCCTTCATTTTGTCACCTTGATTTTTCTCTGTTCCCCTGTTACCTCTGGCTATCATGCTTGCCCCTGTTCCTGTTATGCCGTGATAGGATTTGTCAGGAGGAGGGCAAGCGGTGAGAGAGAGAGAGAGACAGACAGACAGAGAGAGAGAGAGAGATAGAGATAAAGAGAGATAGAGAGAGAGAGGGGGGGATGGAAAGGGGTGAGAGAGTGGAGTGGAAATAGTGGATTAGTGGAGGAATAGGGGAGTGGAGAGGAAGGAGGGGGGAGTTGGGAGTGTGCTAGGGGCATAGGATGCTTGGGGGGGGGGGAGATAAGGGGTATAGTTGGTCAACAGGGCCTGAAAGATGACCTAGACAGATAGGGAGATAGGAAGAGACAGAGGAAGGAAGGTGGTACAGAGAGAGGGGGGAAATGGGAGTGTTAGAGTGAGAGAGGGTCCGTAAGGTTATGTACTTGCTGTGTGTTGTTTGCGAGTGTATTCACCTAGCTGTATTCACCTAGTTGTGTTTGCGGGGGTTGATCTCTGCTCTTTCGGCCTGCCTCTCAACTGTCAATCAACTGTTTCTACAGCTACTATTTTTTTCTCTCTCTTCACACCACTCCACATACACACACCCCAGGAAGCAGCCCGTGATAGCTGACTAACTCCCAGGTACCTATTTACTGCTAGATAACAGGAGCATAGGGCGAAGGAAACTCTGCCCATCGTTTCTCGCCGGCACCTGGAAACGATCCCGGAACCACAGGATCACGTGCTCACTCAGCGTGCTGTCCGCTCGGCTGGCAGGCTCCCTGCGTGTGTGTGTGTGACACCAAGGTATCAAATCCTGTGTGTGTGTGTGTGTGTGTGTGTGTGTGTGTACTCACCTAGTTGTGCTTGCGGGGGTTGAGCTCTGGCTCTTTGGTCCCGCCTCTCAAGCGTCTATCAACAGGTGTACAGGTTCGTGAGCGTATTGGGCTCTATCATATCTACACTTGAAATTGTGTATGGAGTCAGCCTCCACCACATCACTTCCTAATGCATTTCATTTGTCAACCACTCTGACACTAAAAAAAAAGTTTTCTAATGTCTCTGTGGCTCATTTGGGCACTCAGTTTCTACCTGTGTCCCCCTAGTGTGTGTGTGTGTGTGTGTGTGTGTGTTCTCACCTAGTTGTGTCTGCAGGATCGAGCATTGACTCTTGGATCCCGCCTTTCGAGCATCGGTTGTTTACAGCAATGACTCCGGTCCTATTTCCCTATCATACCTGGTTTCAAAATTATGAATAGAATTTGCTTCCACAACCTGGTCCTTAAGTGCATTCCATTTTTCCACTACTCTCACGCTAAAAGAAAACTTCCTAACATCTCTGTGACTCATCTGGGTTTCCAGCTTCCACCCATGTCCCCTCGTTCTCTTACTATTCCGTGTGAACATTTCTTCTATGTCCACTCTGTCAATCCCTCTCAGTATTTTATAAGTTCCTAACATGTCCCCCCTCTCCCTTCTTCTTTCTAGTGTCGTAAGGCACAGTTCCTTCAGGCGCTCCTCATACCCCATCCCTCGTAGCTCTGGGACAAGTCTCCTTGCAAACCTCTGAACCTTTTCCAGTTTCTTTATATGCTTCTTCAGATGGGGTTTCCATGATGAGGCGGCATACTCTAAGACTGGCCTCACGTAGGCAGTGTAAAGCGCCCTAAATGCCTCCTTACTTAGGTTTCTGAATGATGTTCTAACTTTTGCTAGTGTAGAGTATGCTGCTGTCGTTATCCTATTTATATGTGCCTCAGGAGATAGATTAGGTGTTACATCCACGCTCAGGTCTCTTTCTCGCGACGTCACAGGTAGGCTGTTCCCCTTCATTGTGTACTGTCCCTTTGGTCTCCTATCTCCTAGTCCCATTTCCATAACTTTACATTTGATCGTGTTGCATTCCAGTAGCCATTGCTACTAGCCAATTCCAGTGTGTGTGTGTACTCACCTATATGTACTCACCTATATGTGCTTGCAGGATCGAGCATTGACTCTTGGATCCCGCCTTTCTAGCTATCGGTTGTTTACAGCAATGACTCCTGTCCCATTTCCCTATCATACCTAGTTTTAAAAGTATGAATAGTATTTGCTTCCACAACCTGTTCCCCAAGTGCATTCCATTTTTCTACTACTCTCACGCTAAAAGAAAACTTCCTAACATCTCTGTGACTCATCTGAGTTTCCAGTTTCCACCCATGTCCCCTCGTTCTGTTATTATTACGTGTGAACATTTGATCTATTTCCACTTTGTCAATTCCCCTGAGTATTTTATATGTCCCTATCATATCTCCTCTCTCCCTTCTTTTCTCTAGTGTCGTAAGGTTCAGTTCCTTCAGCCGCTCTTCATATCCCATCCCTCGTAGCTCTGGGACAAGCCTCGTCGCAAACCTCTGAACCTTCTCCAGTTTCTTTATGTGTTTCTTCAGGTGGGGGCTCCATGATGGCGCGGCATACTCTAAGACGGGTCTCACGTAGGCAGTGTAAAGCGCCCTAAAAGCTTCCTCATTTAGGTTTCTGAATGAAGTTCTAATTTTCGCCAGTGTAGAGTACGCTGCTGTCGTTATCCTATTTATATGTGCCTCAGGAGTTAGATTAGGTGTCACATCCACTCCCAGGTCTCTTTCTCGAATCGTTACAGGTAGGCTGTTCCCCTTCATTGTGTACTGTCCCTTTGGTCTCCTGTCACCTGATCCCATTTCCATAACTTTACATTTACTGGTGTTAAACTCCAGTAGCCATTTCTCTGACCATCTCTGTAGCCTGTTTAAGTCCTCTTGGAGGATCCTACAATCCTCGTCTGTCACAACTCTTCTCATTAATTTTGCGTCATCTGCAAACATTGACATGTATGATTCCACTCCTGTAAACATATCATTTACGTAAATTAGAAAGAGGATTGGTCCCAGCACCGATCCTTGAGGTACTCCACTTGTTACTGTTCGCCAGTCCGACTTTTCGCCCCTTACCATTACCCTCTGGCTCCTTCCTGTTAGGTAGTTCTTCACCCATACTAGGGCCTTTCCGCTTACTCCTGCCTGCCTCTCAAGTTTGTATAGCAGTCTCATGTGCGGTACCGTATCAAAGGCCTTTTGGCAGTCAAGAAATATGCAGTCTGCCCAGCCTTCTCTATCCTGCCTTATGTGTGTATGTGTGTGTGTGTGTGTGTGTGTATCCAGATCCAGACCAGCATCTCATCACTTAACCCAGGATCTCTCTCCCAGTACAGGAGGTTACCTCACTCACGTCAGCAGCATCTCTTTTCTAACATAGTCTCCTGGTGTACCTGCAGGACACGGCCGGGATGCCCGCCCTGGCATGAAGACATACCAGTGCCACCTTCAGCACCAGGGACGGTGTGTCGGGGGAGCTGATGGTCACTCCACCATCACCACCACCATCACGTCCACCATCACCACCACCATCACGTCCAGCATCACCACCAGGGCAGGAGGAAGGCAGGGCGGGGCGGCAGCTGGTGGCCGCCACACTGTACAGGCAGAGCACTCTGGCGTAATAGATACATTGTAGTTTGAGATACTCTTCAGTAAATTGGTGTGTGTTTTGTATCATATTTTCACATATGCATATCTATTTTCGCTTGGAGGAGTGGTCAGTGGGAGGTGTGTGTTTGTGTAAGAGTATGCTTGAGCGCGTGTGTGTGTTTGTCTGAGAGAATTGCTGAGCGTGTGTTTGTGTGTGAGTATGCCTGAACGTATGTGTGTGTGTGTGGTTGTGTGAGTGTATGCTTCAGCGTGTGTGTGTGTTCTCACCTAGTTGTGCTTGCGGGGTTTGATCTTTGGCTCTTTGGTCCCGCCTCTCAACCATCAATCAACTGGTGTACAGATTCCAGAGCCTGTTGGGCTCTATCATATCTACATGTAAAACTGTGTATGGAGTCAGCCTCCACCACATCACTGCCTAATGCATTCTACCTGTTAACTACTCTGACACTGAAAAAGTTCTTTCTAACGTCCCTGTGGCTCATTTGGGTATTCGGTTTCCACCTGTGTCCCCTTGCTTGCGTACCACCAGTGTTGAATAGTTTATCCTTGTCTACCCGGTCCGTTCCCCTGAGGATTCTGTAGGTAGTGATCATGTCTCCCCTTACTCTTCTGTCTTCCAGTGTCGTAAGGTGCATTTCCCGCAGCCTTTCCTCGTAACTCATGCCTCTTAGTTCTGGAAATAGTCTAGTGGCATACCTATGAACTTTTTCCAGCTTCGCCTTGTGCTTGACAAGGTATGGGCTCCATACTGGGGCCGAATACTCCAGAATTGGTCTTACATATGTGATATACAAGATTCTGAATGATTCCTTACACAGGTTCTTGATGACTGTTCTGATGTTAGCCAGCCTCGCATATGCCGCAGATGTAATTCTTTTTATGTTGGCTTCAGAAGACAGGTTTGGTGTGATATCAACCCCTAGACCTTTCTCTCTGTCCGTTTCATGAAGGACTTCATCTCCTATTCTGTATACTGTGTCTGGCCTCCTGTTTCCACCGCCTAGTTTCTTTACTTTGCATATATTCGGGTTGAACTTTAGCAGCCATTTGTTGGACCATTCATTCAGTCTGTCTAGGACATCTTGTAGCCTCCTACTATCATCCTCTGTTTCAATCCTCCTCATAATTTTTGCATCATCAGCACACTGTGTGTGTGTGTGTGTGTGTGTGTGTGTGTTTACTAGTTTACTAGTTGTGTTTACTAGTTGTGTTTTTACGGGGGTTGAGCTTTGCTCTTTCGGCCCGCCTCTCAACTGTCAATCAACTGTTTACTAACTACTATTTTTTTTTTTTTTTTTCCCACACCACACACACACACACACCCCAGGAAGCAGCCCGTGACAGCTGACTAACTCCCAGGTACCTATTTACTGCTAGGTAACAGGGGCATTCAGGGTGAAAGAAACTTTGCCCATTTGTTTCTGCCTCGTGCGGGAATCGAACCCGCGCCACAGAATTACGAATCCTGCGCGCTATCCACCAGGCTACGAGGCCCGTATGGTGTGTGTGTGTGTGTGTGTGTGTGTGTGTGTGTGTGTGTGTGTGTGTGTGTGTGTGTGTGTGTGTGTGTGTGTGTGTGTGTGTGTGTTTGAGAGTATGCCTGAACGTGTGTGCGTGTGTTTGTGCGGCATCATACTGGCACGAGCCTGTGTGTGTATTCACCTAATTGTTCTTGAGGTGTTGAGCTTTGGCTCTTTAGTCCTGCCTCTCAACTCAGTCAACTGCTGTACAGATTCCTGAGCCGACTGGACTTTATCATATCTACTCTTGAAACTGTGTATGGAATCAGCCTCCGCCACATCACTGCTTAGTGCATTCCATTTGTTAACTACTTTGACACTGAAAACGTTCTTTCTAACGTCACTGTGGCTCATTTGGGTACTCAGTTTCCACCTGTGTTCCCTCGTTCGCGTACCACCCGTTAAACAGTTTATCCTTCTCTACCCCTGTAAATTCCTCTGAGAATTTTGTAGGTCGTGATCATGTCCCCCTTACTCTTCTGTCTTCCAGTGTCGTGTTGTGCATTTCACCCAGCCTTTCCTCGTAACACATGCCTCTTAGTTCTGGGACTAGCCTAGTGGCATACCTCTGAACTTTTTTCAAGCTTCGACTTGTGCTTGACAAGGTACGGGCTCCATGCTGGGGCCGCACACTCCAAGATTTGTTGCATATGTGGTATACAAGGGTCTGAATGATTCCTTACACAGTTTTCTGAAGGCTGTTCTGATGTTAGCCAGCCTTGCATACGCCACAGATGTTATTCTTTTGATGTGGGATTCAGGAGACAGGTTTGGTGTGATATCAACTCCTAGATATTTCTCTCTGTCCGTTCCGTGAAGGACTTCATCTCCCATTCTGTATCTTGTGTCTTGCCTCTTGTTTCCATCGCCTAGTTTCTTTACCTTACATTCACTCGGGTTGAACTTTAGCAGCCATTTGTTGGATCAGTCATTCAGTTTGTCTAGGTCATCTTGTAGCCCCATACTATCTTCCTCCATCTTAATCCTCCTCATAATTTTTGCATCATCAGCAATCAATGAGAGGAGCGATTCTATGTGTGTGTGTGTGTGCGCGTGTTTGCACGCGTGTTTGTGTGCGCGCGCGCGCGCGTGTGTGTGTGTGTGTGTGTGTGTGTGTGTGTGTGTGTGTGTGTGTGTGTGTGTGTGTGTGTGTGTGTGTGTGTGTGTGTGTGTGTGTGTAGTGAGTTTGTGTGTGTGTGTGTGTGTGTGTGTGTGTGTGTGTGTGTGTGTGTGTGTGTGTGTGTGTGTGTGTGTGTGTGTGTGTAGTGAGTTTGTGTGTGTGTAAGTTTGAGCTGTTATATTACAGGGTAGAGATAGACGGATCGGGGAAGGGGAAGAGGTAAGGCGGTTGAGGGAAGGGAGTAGGGGTCAGGGGCGTTGAGATCATTGTGAAAGACTATGCCTTGTACTGAGGGGAGACTGAGGGGAGCACAGGCCAAGGCTGGTAACAAAGTGAGGCTTGTGAGAGGGAAGGGGAGATAGGTGAGAGAGGCTAGAGGGAGAAGAGACAGGAGAAGGGACTGGAGGGAAGGGGGACAGCCCTCAAATCACTGTGTGTGTGGGGGGGGGGGGTGAGGCTCCTCCAACAGTTAGATGTTAGTGTGTGGAGGAAGTGCCTCCAGCTCTAGAGGGTCAGTGAGAGAGATAAGACTCTCCAGCCCTCAGGGGTTACTGTGAGAGGGTAGAGCCTCCATGAACAGTGGGGTTAGTGGTCAGAGGTCACTGTTTAGGAAAGTAACAAAAGGTCAAGAGATCTGCAGGAGTGTGAGAGAATGAAGACACAGCCACCAGAGGTCAGCGGGACGAGGACGAAAGTGTCAGGTGTGAATGCGAGAAAGATGTGAAGTATATATTTGTAGGTAAATTAAAAATAAATACAAGGTGTTTGAAAAAAATTGATATAATTTGGGATGTAAATATCCGCGTAACTACAGAGTCTAGGCAAATGAAACAAAACAGGCTGAATGTTGAGCAAAATAAGATTTATTCGTCAAAATTCGAATGAGAAATATAAATTTATGTGAATTTCATGAACGATTTCAAAGGTTTTCAATATGGGCGCCGCCAGTGACCCGACCCACGTCAAGGCTGTAGTCCAGCTCCCGAAACTATTATTAGCGAGCATATCCTTGCGACGCGCCTCTCTCTCGTTGGAGAACTTTGGGTTTCCAGATATAGTCTGATTATAATCTGATGATCATCTGGTAGACTTCCTGTGGGGGTTCACACGAAGGTGTTTTGAGCCCGCTCATCGATCTCTTCTGTTACTGTTGGTCGTCCAGATCCTTGTGCCCTGCACTGTCAGCCTTCCCCTTTGAACTTTTTGTGCCATGTCCAAATCTGCAGTGCAGTTAGTGCATTTTTAGCGAATTCTCTTAAAATTGCGCACCGCACAGTCTTGTTCGACTGTGTTCGAACACACTCTAACACACTAAACTCCTTTTCCTTTCCAGTCAATGTCATTTCTATATCTGAAAAGAAAAACAATTAGTAATTTTTAGTTGTTTCAACACATGCTCTTAAAATTTTAGATTATTTAAGAGAAATTTTGTCAAGTTAATAACAGATTACGAAATTATATCAAATTTTCTGAAACACCCTGAATATCAATGATGAAATTAGGCAAAAACGATACTTGGTTACATATCTAGAAATCTTAGTAAAAGGACATAAAATGTTATTGTTCAGCTTTGTCTTACCCTTCTTATGTCCTATTTTCACTATGCAGTACATGATTGACACATGCAATGTATCAACACAAAACACGAGAGTGAATCAAAGTTGCAATCATTTAGACTGAGAAACAGCCTGGGCTGATTGGTTAGGAAAAAGACCTGCTGATGTATGAAATAAATTACCGAGTGACTTGGTATAAGTTGGATTCCTAGATTGTTTCAAGCGAAGGGTAAAAATATATACAAATTGGGTTGGGTGAGTATAAACAGAATCTGCCTTGATCAAATAAGCATTCTGAAGCTTTCTTTACTCATACACTCTTATGTCAGCCACGAGAGGTACTGGAGAGCAGATGTAGTGGGTCTCAGGCACTGCAGGCGGCCAATAGGAGTAGGAGCGCAGGTATAAGTAGTGTAAAGGCGGACAATTGTGCGTGTGGGGGTCGATGGAGCACGTAATATAGTGATGAGGGTCCAGAGACGCCATACCCGGGACCCACTTCCCCAGTCCCCGACCCATCATGGCTCCTCCTGCACCACAACATGGACCTCCTCACTCACCAGTATATATACAAAAATAAATTTTAAGATTTTTACGTCTTTCATTTTATTCTTTCCTCAATGGTCATGTACAAGTGCATACGTGAGAGCCTAGACAAGCTACCAAGGATGCCAAATATTCTCTTTTCTGAAATGTGGGGACGCTACAAACACAACCACAATTGCTACTCCAAATATTCTTTATGTATGTACATCACAAAGAAATCAAAATAACGTGGTATATCAGTGAAAATCATTTTGAGGCAACGGAGTGACTCGATCTTGCGTACTGGTAAATCCCAGACACCTGCCCTAACCGACTCGGCCATAATGGTACTAACGTCGGCCAACCCGGAGCTCTGAATTCGCTGGAAGGTTTTGGAGGCCCCGAACCAGAGCTCAACCAGGGTATTACAGTCGACCCGACCACACTCTGGCCATCGAT